GCCGCGGCCCGCGCGGCTGTCGCCACTGCGACCTGCGAGTAAGCCAGCAAGGACGCCCCCCAGACTGCCGCCGACGACGTGGACCTCCCTGTTCCTCGCCCCATCCCCCCCCCAAACCTCCCCTCCCCCTCCGATCGCGGCCCCCCCCCTTCCCCCTCGCGCGCTCTTCATCCTGCTAGCCGCCCTCTCAAATTAAGCCCGTTGTTCCCCCTGGCCGTCCGCGTCGCGACCCCCCTCGGCGACCCCCATCCACGGCGCCGCTCGCATCCAGCCCAGCCAGCGCCGATTGCGCCAGCGTCTCGGGCAGCAAAGTCGAGGGCGCCCACACTTGTTGCTAGATGACCACCGCGACCCAGGGCGGAGAAAAATACCCCCCAAGCTCCGCACCAGACGCCGGCGCTATCGCCGCGGGGTCTCGATCGGCGCGGCCCCTGGGCGGCCGCGATTTGTTTGGGTGCGTTCGAAGTGCCCCAATCGAAATACCCCCAAACTGTTAAAAAATCGACCCAATCCTCAGGCAGTTCGCGGCTCGACGAGGAGACCCCGCCGAAGGCCCTAGCGGCAGCGGCTGGGCGCGGCATATTTGCGCAACTGTCACGCGTGTCGCGGCCCCGCAGGAAGCCCCGCTGAAAGCCCCGACCCCGCTGCCACCGCTCGCGCGGCGGCCCTGGTTCATTTCGGCACGCCCCTGTCGCGCGCTCCCTGGCACTCATGAAAATTCCACCAGAAACTGTGATAAGAACTGCTGATGGGCGGGCCCTTCGCTAAGAATTTGTCGGACGCGCACGGGCGACGCCAGGCCCCGCGCCGCGCCAATTCATGGCGCGCCCCCGCGGCGAGAGACCCCAAAACCGAGCCATCGAAGCCGATCCCGCGCGCCGCTGCAGGACGCATGATCGCCCTGGGCTGCAATGACAATCGGTTTTCACGGCAAGGCACTCGCTGCGCGCCGCAAACACCGTTTGCGCTTGAGTGCTTACACCTGATACCATAAAGTCATTTAACTTACATGTGTCGAATACATGTTGTTGTTCGCATACTTCCGTAACCTATTTTACGGCTACTTTGAAATGATCCAACATACCAGCACCTCTCCATACTACCTTCGTTCTGATGAGAGCCCCAAGATTGCTCAAAAGGACACCATGATGGCCCAAGAGGCCTCCAAGGCGGCCCAAAGCTGGCTGCAGAGGGCCTCCAGAGGGAGGCAATACTGCCTCAGAGGGCCCCTCGACGGCCCCAAACGACGCCAAGATGGTCCAAGACACCCTCCATGCAGCCGAGAGAGCCCCAGACGGCCCAAGAGAGCCCCAACACGGCCTAGGAGGGCCCCAAGACGACACAAGAGGGTCTGCAAACTGCCCTGCAAGGGCCCAGGCCAGCCTCAAGACGGCCCAAAGTAGGTTCATGAGAGCTCCTCGAGAAGTGAAGACAAGATGTGACGGCTATCCTCGTCTTCCGCCTCCTCTTCCTGCTCCTACTCCTCCTACTCCTCCTCCTCCTCCGCCTCCTCCTCCTCGTCATCCTCGTCCTTATCCTCCTCCTCATCCTCATAATCCATCACCATCACAACCATCCTCCTTCTCCTCCTCATCCGCCTCCTCATCACCATGATAATGAAAGTGATCATGATCATGATCCTAATGATCATCATCATCATCATCATCATCATCATCATCCTCATCAGCCTCATCATCCTCATCATCATCATCCTCATCATCCTCATCAGCCTCATCATCCTCATCATCAGCATCAGTATCACCATCATCATCAGTACAATCATAATCAACATCAGCATCATCATCATCACCATCACCATCGCTACCATCAAAGGAGAACGAAAAATTACATAAACATAAAAACTTTGAGGTCCGCGCGGATTTCTTGGATCTGCGCTGGACCCCCCTCCCTGGCGCGCGGAGCGCGCCAGGGGCGGCTCCGGAAGCGCCGCCAGGGGGCCCCAGCGCCGATCCGAGAAATCCGCGCGGACCTCAGAGTTTTTACGTTTACGTCATTGTTCGTTTCCCTACATGAACCTCATCACCACCATCATCATCATCATCATCATCATCATCATCAACATCAGCATCAACATCAACACCAACATCATCATCATCAGCAGCAGCAACACTACCATCATCATCACCACCACACCACCATCATCATCAGCATCATCATCTTCGTCATCATCATCAGCATCGCCATCAGAATCACCATCAAAAACACCATAACCATCACCAGCACCATCAGCATCACCATCATCATCAGCAGCATCAGCATAATTATCAGCAGCATCAGCATCAGCATCAGCGTCAACATCATCATCCGCATCATCACCACCATGGCCATCACCAGCACCATCCGCATCACAATCACCACCACCATCATCATCATCAGCATCATCATCATCATCCTTATCATCATCATCACCATCATCATCATCATCATCGTCGTCGTCGTCATCTGCATATGCATCAGCATCAGCATCACCATCATCACAACCAACACAATCATCAGCACCATCAGCATCAACATCACCACGATCATCATCAACATCACCACGATCATCATCATCATCATCATCATCAACTTCGTCGTCGTCATCATCAGCATCATCATTGTCATCGTCATCATCAGTATCACCATCATCATTATCATAATCACCATCATCATCATCATCATCGTCAGCATTACAATCATCATCACTATCATCATCATCATCGTCATCATCATCGTCATCGTCATCGTCATCATCGACATCATCATTATCATCATTCTCATCACCATCACCAACACCATCACCATCATCGTCATCATCGTCATCAAAGCAATAATAATCATAATCATAATCGACATCATCTTCATCGCAATCATCGTCGTCATCATCAACACCAGTATGGTAATTACAACGACCGCCACCATAATAATTATCAGCATCATCATCGTCATTATCATTATCATCGTCATCATCATCGGTATCCTCATCACCATTATCGTCGTCGTTGTCTTCGTCGTCGTCATCGTCATCGTCATCGGCATCACCCTCATCCTCATACTCATCCTTATCACCACCACGTCCGCGTCCTCCTCATCATCCTCATCCTCATGCTCGTCATCGCCGTTTCCATCGTCACAATATTAATCCCCATCATCCGCTACAATCCTCCTCATTCTGTTATCCCCTTCATCATGCCATCGTCATCAGCCTCATCGTCATCGCCCTAATCGATACGAACAGCTGACACCGAGCCTGATTGAGACTGGCACGGTGGCGGGACCGCCGCAGGCAGCTGGACAGCGCACAACATCGATCTCCGAAGAGGCGACCCCCCTGCGAGGACCCCTTCCGTGCGCCTTCCCGTGCCAGGACTCCTTCGGTGCACGCTGCACACCCCCAAGGGTTGGGGATCGCGTGCAAATCAGCGGGCCAGCGGCGCCACATCGCACACCGTCTTCCCAACGCCAACCGTGATCGGAGGGTCTGCTACGCGGAATCCAGTCCGCCACCGCACTCGCAGCGGTCGGAGCATGTGTGCCGGGCCCCTGCGAAGCAACAGTTTGGCGGCGCGCAGCGGGGCGTATGGGGGGAGGGGGGGGAGGCTTCTTGGAAGGAGGCTGCTTCTCAGGAGGCGGCGTCCTCCCCTTTTGCTGCCAAAAGGTCAGGGCGCCCAGTGCACCGGCCCCAACACGTGGCCGCCCGCTCCGCGCGCCCCCTTATGGGCGGAAGCTCGTGCCTGGAGGCCGAAAGCTCGGAGATGAGGCTCCGTGGGACACGCTGCCCTCGGGCGCCCCCCATCCGAGGAGAACGCTGGGACCGGCTCGACGCTTCGAGATGTGAGGTTTGAGGTTTTCAGACGCGTTCGCTGATTCTCGGCGGCTTTCCAGCCCAGGGCTGCTTCCAGCAGCTGCGCCTCGCCGAGAGCGTTCTGGGGGAACCCAGATCGTTCCGGACGGCCGCTGGAGAACCGAGTTATCACCCAAGAAGCAGACGACGAGCATCACTGGGGGACCGGCTCGGGGGGTGATCGAGCCGGAACCGCCGATAGATCGGCGACAGACCCTCGAAATGCCAAAACCGCTCGCTCCTGGGCGAGGCGGGCCCTCGGGCCTCTCTTTTGATGAATGGGCGCTCGGGGGTCGATGCGTTCCCCACTGAGCCTAGCTGCCCCCTGGCTTTCGGGTCATAACTCGGCTCTCCGGCGGCGGTTCGGGAAGATCCAGGCAACCCCGGGACGCTCTCGGCGAAGAGCAGCTGCTCAATGCACCCCCTTGAGCCTATCGCCCCTAACGTTGCCCCTGAATGACCTCCATTGTGGACGGACAAGATATGGTGAAACAAGGAACCTCAATGGGGGAGGCCGAGCCTTTGCTCGAAGGTTTTTTATCCTCTGGGCCTCCCAAGCCTCCTCAGACGAAAGCATCCGCACGAGGGTGGCTCGGGAATATCTGAGGGCTGGTGGATCTGGAGCATGCATCGGGCGACGCAGCCGCTACAGAGAGCTCTGCCACGCTCTGAGCGAGTCCTGAGACGCCCTGGGGCCACCTGTCCTCATGCCCTCGACCTGCCTCACGACCCTCGCGCTCGGACCGGGCCGACCGCTTCCTGACGGCCCCCGGGGCCGGGCGAGGGCCCAGACGCCGAAAACGACGAAAAGTCTCTGCCTCGATCTTGTTCGAAATCGAGCTGGCCATCCGGGTACGTGTGGACGACTCGTCAGGGCCCGGCGAGGGCCCCCAGACGCCAGAGACAGCGAAAAACCTCCGCCTCGACTTCGCTCAACCGAGCTGGCTCTCTGTGGAGGCCTGGAATTCGGCACCAACACCAGCACAGGGGGTGGCCTCCACACGGGGAAGATGATCCTAGGTTTCGGTGTTGGTGGTAACATTTTGGTCACCTTGGAAGCCAGAATATTACCACCGTCACCTAGGTCGGAATCGTCTTCCCTCGGTGGAGGCACACCGCCGATCTTGGTGTTGGTGCCAACCTCTGGGCCTGCGACATCTGGGCACGCGTGGACGGCTCGTCCGCCCCGAGGGTGCCGACGCCACTCGTGGCGCCGAGGGCCTCCCGAGAGGCTCCGGGGAGGCCCACAGCGAGGAAGGGCAGCGGCATTTGAGCAGGGGATCGACTGCAGCACTGATTTGCCCCAGAACTGATTCTCTCGTCGAGTGTACAGCAAACTCGCATACCGTTCGCAGATCTGCGAGCATTCTGCGCACTTCTTCGTGGATGTCGACGACCAAGTCGCTTCTGGGGCACATCAATGCAATGCTGCGGACGATCCCCTACTCGGAGGCATCGGCTCCTCCCCCCCCTCCCTGGCAGACGACTCGCGCTCCAAGGCCCCGGGGTACGATTGCTCTCGCGCCCCGTGCCCCCCCCCCCCCCCCTGGCGGGGGCCCCCGTCTGGGTGGCCCGGGGGGCCCGAGGGCGGGCCCCTGCAGGGCCGAGATCGAAGAGCGCCAACGCCGGGGCCGGAACGGTCGCACGCCGTCGGCGATCGGGGCCTGCGCGCAGACGACCCGGGCGCTGCCGGGCCCCCGGAGGACGTCGTGACGCGATTGGCTCAGGACTGCCCGAGGGCCGACACGGAAGGGCACATGTTCCACCAGCGCTGCTAGATGTAGGACGGGGGAGAAGGGAGGACGAGGTTCTTCTCCTCCGCCTCCTCGTTCTCCTCCTCCTCCTCCTCCTCCTCCTCCTACTCCTCCTCCTCCTCCTCCTCTGCCTCCTCTACCTCCCTCTCCTACCTCTGGTAGTGGTGGTGGAAAAAGGCCCATCAGACTTTGCGGGAGAATCGCGACACCGGGAACATCACAACCGGAACCCTAGACATGATGACGAAATCGCGTGAAGGTTTGGTGGTTGTGCGGCGCGTGCGCGCGGGGCTTTTCGCGTGAACCTCCCTATGTTTTCTAATTGAAATATTTGGTCTGCTAACTGAAATGTGTTTGTTGTGTCGGTTAGGGTACTTCGGACATGTTTCCATTACTTCCTTTAGAGGGGGGAGGATGAAGGGGAGGAGGGGGAAAAGGAATAGGAGGAGGGAAGGAGGAGGAGGATGAGGAGGAGGAGGAGGAGGAGGAGGAGGAGGAGGAGGTGGCCTCGCGGCCGTTTGCGAGCCGGGTCGGCTCGATCTGGAACTAGCCCCAGGGCCCGAAGCGGGGCGAGCACGCCGGGCGTGACAGAGTTGCAAGCCCAGAGGAGCAGGAGGAGAGGAACAGGGGAGGAGGAGGAGGATGATGGAGAGGAGGAGGAGGAATGAAGAGGAGGAGGAGAAGGAGGTGAGGAGGAGGAGAGGAGGAGGAGGAGGAGGAGGAGGAGGACGGAGGAGGACGGAGGAGGACGGAGAAGGAGGAGGAGGAGGAGGAGGAGGAGGAGGAGAAGGATGAGGAGGACGGAGGAGGACGGAGGAGGAGAAGGAGGAGGAGGACGGAGGAGGACGGAGGAGGACGGATACCCCCCCGAGCGTAGCTTTCGGACCCTGACTCGGACCTCTGGCCGCCGCTCGGGACGATCTGTCCGTCTGCGGCCTTGCATCCCCTGCGGACGCGCAGGCGTAGGGAACAACAGCGCAGAACTCACCCCCAAAACGCTCTCGGCGAGGCGCAGCTGGTGGGAGGCACCCGGAGGCTGGAGGAACGTCGCAGACCGATCGGCGGCGTGCTGCCAGGGGGAGAAGCGAGCATGGGCGGGCCTGCTCAGAGGGCTCGGAAGTCCCCCAGCCTTCGTAAAAGTTTGCAATACCCTCCCCGACGACAAAGAAACCTTCTCAAGGGTGCGAGGGCTTCTGAGAAGTCCCGCTGCCTCCTGCGAAGGCCTTCTCCTTCTCATTTCTGCCCCTCGCTCGCCGCCGAAGAGCGCCGATCGCCGAGAAGCATTGGGAAACCAACAGGTGCCGATACCAGTACTCCCCCGGACCTCTCCCAAAGTGCGTTCTGGCCAGCACTGCGAGGCGAATCCGGCGGTGGCGACGAGAACGTCCGGACCGACGCAAACGTCCGAATCCGCCGAACCGACGAGAACGCCCGAAAACCTCGAGCTCCGTCGGGGACGGCTTGTGCGCTGCAAGGCCCGCCGGGGCCCGCGCACGCCGTGGCCCTCGTGCGCGCAGGGCCGCCGCCCAGCGAGCGCGCTCGGCGGCGCGGCGTCCAGCGGGCCGCAGCGCCAGCGCGGCGCAGGCCGCGCAGCGTCGAGAAGTTCCGCGCCAGGCCGCCACGCGGCGCCCATGGCGCGGGGGGAGGAGGAGGAGGAGGAGGAGGAGGAGGAGGAGGAGGAGGAGGAGGCGGAGGAGGAGGAGGAGGAGGAGGAGGAGGAGGAGGAGGAGGAGGACGAGGCGGAGGAGGAGGCGGAGGAGGCGGAGGCGGGCGGGGAGAAGGGAGGGGGCGGAGGAGGAGAGGAGGAGGAGGAGGAGGAGGAGGAGGAGGAGGAGGAGGAGGAGAGGAGGAATGGGAAGGAAGGACGGGAGGAGGAGGAGGCGGAGGCGGTGGCGGAGGCGGAGGAGGAGGAGGAGCAGGAGGAGGAGGAGGTGGAGAGGAGGAATGTGACGAGGAGGAGGAGGAGGAGGCGGAGGAGAAGGAGGAGGCGGAGGCGAGGGCGGAGGCGGAGGCGGAGGAGGAGGAGGAGGAGGAGGAGAAGGAGGAGGAGGCGAGGAGCAGGAGGAGGAGGAGGCGGAGGAGAAGGCGGAGGAGGAGCAGGAGGAGAGGTGGAGGAGGAGGAGGAGGAGGAGGAGAGGGAGGACCAGTGTAAACCCAAAAATCACCAACGATGTTGGAATAAGCCCTCCCCCAAAGCTCCCTCCTCCATAGGCCCCTACCAACGGTTCATTTCCACAGAGGGACCTGCCTCGTTGGAAGACAACTGTTTGAAGACCCTGAAGCATGCCAAAACATTGTTCTCATTATTCCAACGCCACGGATGAACCTGACTGTTGCGTCTTGACGATCCAGGATCGTGCCAGAACGCCATCCAAGTAATGTGCGCGGCGCTACAGCGAGAACCACATTTTGAAAACGACCCGCCCTCAATCCGTGAAACTCTTCCAAATAGTTGAAACGAATGTGCGCGGCACTAATGCGAGAGCCACATTTTGAAAGCGGCCCACCCTCAATCCATGAAACTCTTGCATCTGTTCAAACGAATGTGCGCGGCACTAAGGCGAGAACAACAATTTGAAAACCACACGCCCTCAATCCGCGAACCTCTTGCAAATTTGAAAAACGGATGTGCGCGGCGCTGAGGCGATAACCACATTTTGAAAACCATCAGCCCTCAATCCGTGAAACCCGTGCAATTTCTTCAAACGAATGTGTGCGGCGTCGAGGCGAGAGCCACATTTTGAAAACCACCCGCCCTCCAGCTGTGAAACAGTTGCCAAGTATTAAGCTTCAGGGTTGTGCGTGGTGAGGAAGTCTCAGGCGAAACGCCCGGCCCGCGCTAAAAACTGGCCTCGGAGTGAGGAGGAAGAGGAGACGGAGAAGGAGAAGGAGAAGGAGGAGGAGGAGAGGAGGAGGAGAAGGAGGAGGAGGAGAAGGAGAGGAGGAGGAGGAGGAGGAGGAGGAGGAAGAAGAGGAGGAGGAGAAGAGGAGGAACAAGCTGGGGAGGAGGAGGAGAAGGAGGAGGAGGAGGAAAATAAGAGAAGGAAAGGGAGAGGAGGAGGAGGAGGAGGAGGAGGAGGAGGAGGAAGAGGCCTGACGAGGGGAGCAGGAGGAGGAGGAGGAGGAGGAGGAGGAGGAGGGAGGAGGGAGGAGGAGGAGGGAGGAGGGAGGAAGGGGAGGCGGAGGAAGAGGACCAGTGTAAACCCAAGACGCATCAAAGATGCTGCTAAGAACCTTTCTTCAAAATTCTCTTTTCACAAGTCCCCACAATACCTTATTTTCATGGCGTGAATGTCCCATTTGGAAGACAACCGTCTGAGAATACTAAAATGGGCGTTCATACGAGTGCGCGCAACGCTGAGGCGAAAGCCACATGTTCAAAAACAGCCGTCCTTCATCTTAGAAACTATTGCAACATTTTAGGACGAATGTGCGTGGCGCTGGAGCGAGAGCCACATGTTCAACATGACCCGCCCACCATCCTTGAAATTGGTGGTAACGTTTCAGACGAATGTTCGCGGCACAAGGCGAGACTCACATTTTGAAAGCGACCCGGCCTGAAGCTGCTGCACATGTCATGCTTCAAGATCATAAACGGTGAGAAGTCTCGGGCGAAACGCCCAGCCCTCCCTAGCGACACGCCTGGGGGTGCGGCAGGGAGGAGCTCTTCAGGAAAAGGGATGGAGGAGGCGGACCAGGAGGGGGGACAGAAGGAGGAGCGCTCACCTTCCCGTGGGTCTTTGTTCCGCCTGGATACCTCGGGTGAGAAGGGCACGCATCTTAACGTGCCTGCGGGCAAGCACTCGCCTGCGGGCCTCGAGGAGGGAAAGGGCCCCCATGGGCCCGCACTTCCCGCCGGCACGAGGAGGGACAGAAGGGACAGAAGGAGGAGAAGGAGAGGAGGAGGAGGAGGAGGAGGAGGAGGAGGAGGAGGAGGAGGAGGAGGAGGAGGGGGAGGCGGAGGCGGAGGCGGAGGCGGAGGGGGGCGGCGCAGAGGTCCCCCTCAGATCCAGGCGGCGCAGCACGAGTCGCGCCAGTACCACCACGAGGCCTGGGCGCCGCAACCTCCGGCACGCAAGGGCGGCCCTTCGCCCGCTCTCGGGCCCCCGGGCCCCACGAGGCCAGCACGGCCCGATCCGGCCTGGAAGATGGGGTCCGGGGGCTCCGGTGGCGATGCTGCGCTGCGCTTCGAGCTTTTTCGCAGCGTCGGACTTCACGGGGCAGCGCGGAGGCCCTCAGGGTGCAGGCGGAGCAGAACAGATCGGGGCGGCCAGATGTTCGTCGGGGCAGGGCGCTGGTCGCTCCGACTGGTAGGCACAGGACCTGCATCTGTTTGACCACTGCTCCTCTTCGTGCCCATCTGGGAGCTTGCAGACATACAGGATAATCACCGCGGTGTGTGTGTGTGTGTGTGCGTCTGGGGGGGAGAGGGCAAGGGCGCATGGGGGGAACTGTTTGTCGGGGCCTTCCTTGGGAGCTCAGCAGGGCGGGGCTCATCACACTGAGCTCAGCCGCAACGTATGCCATCTCGTGAAGAATATTTCGGAACTGGGGGTTTAAACTCACGTTCCGCTTCTGAACGGATTGGCATTCAGGTTCTTTCGACCACCGAAATTACACATAACCGAAAAATATTGCCTTCTGAATATCCCCCAGGGCACACCTATTCCATCGACGCTTAACCCATCCTCCGCACCCGTTTCCGCCGCCACTTCCGCCATCCTCCTCGTCATTCCCCTCCAACCCTGCCCCTCCTCCTCCTCCTCCTGCTCATCCTGCTGCTGCTGCTGCTGCTGTTGCTCATCCTAGTTCTCCCTCTTCCTCCTCCCGTTCCTCCTCGAGCCGCCCTGTCCTCCTCCAGGGCCGCGATGCAGATGTTGGGTACCGAGAAGCTCCTCCTCCTCCTCCTCCTCCTCCTCCTCCTCCTCCTCCTCCTCCTTATCATCTTATTAGTACACAAGTATAATCGTTATTATTATTAGTAGTGGTATGCTGTTCTTCTTATTATTATGATTATCCGTATGCGTAGCATGCTGGTTATTATGGAATTATTGATACTGCGGTAAGAAAGATTAGTATGATGCATGTGATTGTTTAGACTGTCGAATTTGTTATTACTAATATTAATATGTTCGGTAATCTTCGTACGCGGATTCGTCTTTTCCTCATATTATTATGTGTCGTCTTCTTCTTCCTCCTTCTCCCCTCCCTAAGAGAAACCAAAAGGAACCGATACCTCTACTTCCCGAACCTCTCCCGGGTGCGTTCTGACTAGGATGTCGGGGCGAATGCAGCGGTTGCGACGAGGGCCTCCCAGGAGGCCAGAAAGGCAAAAACGAGGGAAGGGTAGCGGTGCACGGGTACCTTTTCCTCCTCCTCCTCCTCCTCCTCCTCCTCCTCCTCGTCTTCCTGCTGCCGCGCTCCTCCTCTCTCTCCTCCTCCTCCTGGGTAAGTGCCCCCCCCCCCCCTCGGCCACTCCTGGGCCGCCGGGGGCAACCGCCTCCTGCCCCGCAGGCACAGCAGGCCCCGGAAGCAGCTCAGCGTCCTGGGACGCGGCTCAGCCCCGCGGAGCCCCTCCCCTTCTCCTTCTCCTCCTCCTCCTCCTCCTCCTCCTCCTTCTCTTCTCTTCTCCTCCTTCTCCTCCTTCTTCCTCTTCTCCTCCTCCTCCTCCTCCCCTCCTCCTCCCCCTCCCCTCCCTCCCTTTCCTCCCTTTCCTCCCTTTCCTCCCTTTCCTCCTCCTCCTCCTCCTCCTCCTCCTCCTCCTCCCCTCCTCGTCATAGTTTTTCGGCCCCTGAGCCGACTGCATTGGAGCGGGGCCTGAAGCCTTCAGGTACGTGCACATGGTACGGTGCAAGGGCGCCCTTTCTGGCAAGGAAGTCCCGTCGGAGGCGCGCCCAGGGGGGATGTGAGAAGGGACGGACCTTCTCAGAAAACTCTGAAGGCTCCCAGCCTTCCGAGAAGCCTTCTGAGCCTGATCCGAAACCACGGGGTGCTGCTCAGAAGGCCGAAGGGCCTCTGAGGAGCCCCGCCGCCTTCTGAGATAGCTTGCCCCCTCTCACTTCTCCCCTGGGCGCGGCGCCGATCGTCAGCTTCCCCTCTCCCAAAAATCCTTGGCGGCGGCAGCTGCTGGAGCGGTCAGCATCGATTCGACGAGCCGAGTGGTGTTCAGAGCGAGCGCCGACGCTAGCTGCTATGTCGGCGTGAAGTGCACCGTCAAGGTCTGAATTGGATCGGCCGCGCATGAGGAGGCCGCGGCTTGCGTTCGTCGAGGCGACCCCGCCCTGCGCTGAAAAGGGCGCGCGGGACAGCCGCGGGGCAGCCGAAGCAAAGCGGGCTCTTGGGCGGCATCGCCGCGGGACGCCGCGACATAGCCGCAGCGGCACGACTGAGGACGGCTGCGCAGCTGCAGCACTGCTGTAGCACAGCGACGGGGTAGCATGTCGGCGACACAGGGACGATCTTCCACGAAGGGGATATCCATAGGAACTACATCCTTGACAGGAACAGACACGGTCACGGACCTGGCGGACACAGAGAAGGAAAGCAACGTGGAGGGCGAACGACAAGAGAGCGCCGAGACGGCACAATATGCACACGCAAGTCCGGGCATATATAATTCGGTGTGAAACGGCAGGTGCATGTGCAATTGAATGCATGCCCTGGTTGTTGAACAGGTGTAGGGAATTTCCGGGGCATGTGATCTCTTACAAACATCAGTAAGAACAGGCGTCGGTAGGTCGAAACGGCGAGACACACATGGCCAATAATTGGAGGGCAGTGTGGAAACGCATGCGCGCGCGAAAAAACGCGCGCAACTGAACACGCACACACGAGAACGCGTGCGTGAATACAATGGCGCGCACATGAACTTTCACTGGAAGCGATCGGCGTGAATGGACTCAGGGAATCGCTTTGCCCCCCCATGCGTCGCCCTCTTCCTAAAACCATGGGTCTGAAGCTCTTCCCCCGCGATGGGCTAGAGCGCCTAAGATGGCCCAAAATGGCTCCGCGACGGCCCCAGAAAGCCCATGATGACCTCAAATATGACTCATGAGCACCCAACGTCGTTCAAGATACCTTCCAATTTGCCTCCGAGATGCCCCGCGGCCGCCCCAAGGCGGCTCCAAGTGGCCACGGCGCTCCCCCAGGAGGCCCCCGGGAAGCCCAACTCCTTTAATGACAATACTATGAACAAATTGGTGTCGCCTTCTCGTTGTTCCGAGCAGTGTCCGCAGGCAGCAATGCAACTATAATGATGATACCGACTGTGTGGGGCCGGACGGAGTGCCGCGTGCCGCTGGTATTGGCGACCGAAAACACATGTTCAAGTGTAATATGACAGCGCCAGACTGCGCCGGGACAGTCGAATCGGGTTGAAGCTCGCACGGGCTGCGCTAGAGCAGACCGGCGCGCCCGACACTCAAACGCGCCGAAGCTCTAGCTACTCGCGCACGCAGAAAAGCTGCTCGCTCAATGAAAAAAGCCACGCTCGCAGGAAAGCTGCTCGCCCACAGGGCACGGCTACATTTCGGCTTTTCTTGGACGGAATTATGCGAAGGGGGGGGTCAGTTTAAGCCGCGGCCTCCTCAGCCGCGCAAAATTACAAAACGGTGCCAGGCAAGCAAGCAGGGGACTGTCGGAACGTCGGAATTTCGAGATCGAATCGGATCGGGCAGGCCGAAATGGCTACCGGACCAGATCGAGATGGACCCTGCCGGCGGCGGCAATGGGCTTGCTGAAGTCTGCGTGTCCTCTTGCAGGCCGCCCTGCAGCAGCAGTGGAGCTCGAGGCGAAAGTTCTCATCCCGTGAGAGCGCGGAAGACAGGAGCGTTCGGTGGCAACTCATGGGAGCCCCCCATCGCATCTTGTTGGCTCTTGCGAATCAACGCTAATCGACGCTAATTCGACGCTAATCGACGCTAGCCGACGCTAGATCGGCACTACCTCATCGACTCCAGACGCTGATCGACGCTAATCGACGCTAAAGACAGACTTACGAGGGTACACAACGCTCCCATGATTTGCTACCACAGGCGTTGCAGTTTTTTCACATGGCGGCCTCTCTTCGTTTTCGGCGTCTTGGGGGAGACCGTCCAAGGACGATCGGGGACTAGAAGACAGCCCCCGGGAAGAGCTCTAGAAAGAAAAAACGGGCCCCAAGGCCCTGAGATCGCCCAGTTTCGGGCACACTACAACCCTCGTCAAAATTAACCTCAACAGTGTCTTACGTGGCTGAACTGTTTGTGGGGAGATACTGGACAGAGTAGCGACGACTGCGAAGTACGTGTATGCGCCGCCCCTCCGCTGTCGGTTATCATCGCACTTCCGAGCCGTTCCCAGTCAGACCACCTCTGCCCTGGCCCCGACATCGGAGGGGCGCCCATCGATATGGAAGGGCGCGCCGACATCGCGGGAGCGGGCTCGCCATTTCTGAAGTTAGTTTTGACAAGGGTAGTAGGCTGCATACTTTGCCACCGAATCGCCCCGTGCGAGCGGGGACGACGGGAGCTCCTGGCAAGAGTTCCCGCCTTTAGCTTCAGCAAAAACTGGTTTTATGGATTTTAGACCACGGGCGCCTGGAACCGCCAGAGAACCACTACGAAACCACTAAAACCTTGACAGATCCTTAACGAGTCCCCTGCACTGAGTGTCGTTTAACCGATCCCCAGCGGCGTGGCCTGGGCCCCACTGGCCGACTTGCCCCCCTAGATGGGGATATAGGTCGTTCCCTTCGGGTTTCGAGGGGCGTATCCCCAACTGGGGTGGTGATTTGGTGGGGGTCTCGAAGGGGAGGGGGGAGGGGGATGGGGGATCGCTCAAACGATACTGAACCTCTCGGCTCCTGTCCGCTGGGGGGGGGGAGCGGAGGCCGCAGCTCTCGAGAGGCCGGGCGCCCCCCCAGCGGCGGGTGCCCGGGGACCCAGGGGGAGCTGACCCGTCCAAGAGCGTTTTTTTTTTTCTCTCTCGGAGGAGGAGGAGGAGGAGGAGGAGGAGGAGGATAGTGAGGAAGAGAATGAGGAGAGGGGGACTCTGAGGTTGCATGGATCCTTCAAGCCTGTGCAGTCGTCGTGCCACCACAAGGAGCGCCGAAGAAGGAGCGAAGGGGCGCTTCTGGCCACGGCGAGCCCCGGCCACGAATGGGTTCCCCAGCCCAGATCTGAGGAGCGGCCTGAGAATCCGAGCCGGCTTTGTGAGGCTAAATGTGGCGACCGAAAGCAGCGCCGAGGCTACGTACTGCGTCTAGGCACGGGTCAGCAGAGGCCAGGGGAAGAAGTCAGATCTTGCGGCGGCGTTCAGCGTTGGCGGCGGTCACAGTTGCTATTTGGGGTCAGGCAGGAATTGACAGAATACACTACCCCATGCGGAACACACACGCGGGCGCTCCATCCGCTGACCTCGACA